TGGTATGAACCCTGTGCATCCCACCCCGCCCCCCCACCCCCAAAGCCCCAGCTTCAAACACGCAGAAGCTCAACAGTTGTGAAATCCTAAACTAGTTTCAAATTTGCTTTCAGTTCTACTAGATTGAGATTTATAGGAAAAAAAGCACTTAATTTTGTACTTTGTTATGAGAATTCTGGTAGATTCAGCATTTTAAGTAAACTTCAGAAGCAATACTACACTGTTCTAACTTTAGCCATTACTTCCATTCTTGAGCTATACCTGAAACCACAGTAAATGAGCTGTGTTTAAGTTTATATTTGATTAAGTCAGTTCTGGTAACAACAAAACAAAATGCCTAGTTTGACCTATATACTATTCTAGGAAGTTAAGTATTTGCCAACATTTCCTTTCTAACTGTAGGGATTTAGAACTTTTAAGTATTATAACACCTTTCTATGTTTAATATAGATGCAACAGAAGTTCTCCATTTACTTTCTTAATAAAGCAAAAAAGTTTAAAATACACTTCAGCTACAAGACCAAAGTATGCCCTCTTGAAAGCCATGCCTTTTTAGTGACACTCCTGAACTACCTGTTTGCTGGGGGGTTACTATATTTCTCTCTGTTACTAACCATTAGGAAAAGACATGAACTAACAGATAATACACAACATGTGTGGGATCTATAAATAAAATAGTAATTGAAGATCTTAAAGTTACAGGCTGAAAAAAGCTATTTGTGAGAATAACTATGTCTACTTTTTAGAAAGATGCAAACTGTACAAAACACAAAACATGACCCACCACTTGTCTTCTGATAACATGTGGGCCAAATCTTTCTTAGAAAAAAATTATACCCATTTTTAAAATCCCTTTCCCTTTTCTCTTAATGCATTAGATATACGTACCCTGAGCGGGAATTTTAAAGGCCGACGATAAGGCTGGAAACCCACAGGTCCTCCTTGTTGAAGGATGGCTTGATGGGCTGCATGAAGACCTTCTCCCACAACTGGAATGGCATTATTATTGCGAGCATGCTGGTTGTTAGGCTGCTGGTTTGCATTATTTTCATTCTCTTCCTGGTCACCAAGTAGGTAAGAATGGAGATCCCTGTAACAATCAAAATTTCAGTTTTGTTCTGTTTGATATGACTGAGAATCTTACAGAAAGACAGGCCTACTCAGAATGAGTACAAGTTGTATAAAACTTATACAGGAGTACTGGCAGAATCTTGATAAAATAAAACAAACTATTTTCTGATGATGCACTTAATGTCAACCTAAACACAGAATTTAGAAGAAAAATGCTAGTGTGGATGCAGATTATTAACAGTGGGAATACAGCCACAAATAGAGATCATTTACCTGTTTGCTTTAAAAACTATATTTGGCATTAAAGTTGTTGTGCATATAAAAGGCAAACTGCATCGTTATTTTGGTTCATATAAGCAGGCAGCTCAACTGACAGCTTTTATTTTACTGCTACTAAGCTCTATTGGAAAAAATTGCCTTCAAACCTAAACGGTACAAGCCAGTACTGTATTGCTATAGACGTGTTTTCAGAAGTACAGAGTCAAGCAGAGTCTTTCAAGAAGATTCTAAATTGCTCAAAACCTGTTCAGAACTTTCTAAGAATATCAATCCTAGAAAGAGTCAATCTACTTTAAAAAGTATTCTGTTGGTATTTCTTGCATACATCATTAGCAAATATTTGAGTGATTAAAAAACTCCAAAACCCAATATGAACATTTAGAAGTTAATTTTTCTCAGCTTTAGCAGAGTTTTTATTAGCCCTAAGATGCATGCAGATATTCTATTGGCAGACAATGAAAAGATTTTCACAGCAGTTGGCTTTTTGAAAAAAAGCAGAGGAAAAGATTTTCATCTTTGCTCAACTAAAATTGATGAAGAGATATTTCATAATTGTTCTTAGCAGCTACAGTAGTGGAGAAAGGAAAGCCATTTCTATCATCATCTCTGAAATTCTCTTCTAGCATCGTACTTAAACATAATCAAAACATGGACAAATTAATTAAAAAAACAACTTTCCAAAATGCAAACTAAGAGAACAGGAGCAGGGAGAGTTTCCTTATGAGAAGCTAAAACAAATATTTTGGATTGCAGTAGAAGAAAAAAGTCTTTCATTCATTTTCTCAGAGTCTCAGACATAACTCAACAAACAATCAATCTTCATCCTAATAATGCTGCATTGGCACGACCCACAATGAGCAAGACATGGTGGGAGAATGCCAATATACTTTGAAGTTAAATTTAAAACTGTATAGAAACAAAATCAACCTTATTTTTTTCTTGACTAATCTGTCAAACAACATATGAACTAAAAAATGTTTTCAAGTGCTAAAACTCTGCCTGGCAGACTAAATTAAAGCACCTCACTTTACATAATCATTTTCTTTAGCTGACAAAGATACAGTTTTACCCTTGTTTAGGGACTGAACTTCTAACTTTAAAATCCCCCATTTAAAGGTATTCACTTCAGCTTAATGTTCTAAATTTTTTTTCCTTCTTATAGTAAGAAATGCAAGATGTGCACAGGAATTTTACGTAGATGACTCATGGAAATGCTCTGCTGACACCTCTTTAATTTTTACATATAATAGGAAGCTAACAAGCTGTTAGTCATACCTTTATAGATTTTTTTTTTTTTTTTTACTAAGCAAGTGCTGTAATAGTGTACCAAAAGAATTACTTGGCAAAGACTAGTCCAGAAGAGGTACAACTACTGCTTAGAAGAAGGTACTTCCACAGGAAATCACTATAGAAGTTTTTCATCACGTATGTGTAAAGCGTAAAATGTTTTTCATCACATACCTGTAAAATAGCTATTACAGCTACTTGTTGGGATAACTCTCTTGAAAAACCATGCTGCTTTCATGTTAAAAGGCTAAGCTGGACACAATGCTTGTAGTTGATTTTGGCTTTCTGTACTTACAGCAAGTATCCAGCAGTAACAGTCCATGCTCGTACAAGACCTTTCAACCACTGTCTTGTATGTCCTTGTTCTAGCAAAGCTGGAAGCACCACCTGAAGCAAAAGGAGCTCTAGGGAAAGTTCACTTACTGGAGCATCACTAGAAACAATGGGAAGAGCAGGAAGTCAAGCATAAGGAACATTCTGATAGTAATCTTTCACACCGAATCATATTAACACCACCACAATAAAAAAGAAATATACTGTACACCAACAGGAACAATTCTTACATTTGTGCAGACATTTTTCCTTACATACTACTCCGAGCACGGGTTAGGTGTTCATGAGTGTTTAGGCACTTAGGCACACAAGAAATTGAAGAAAAAAATGTTGAGAAAGATTGTATCAGAGAATGTGATTTGCTCTTCTATTTGCTTCTATCATTGCTGTTTCAATTATTATTTAGAAACAGAAAGATACTGCTATCATTAAAAAGAAATGCAGTTACAGATATTCTTTTATTCTTGAAGCAATAATAATCAGGAATGAATGTGAAAAACAAATATAGCAGCAACTTCACTATCAAAAAGTTGAAGGGGAAAGTGTTTTGGGGCATGTAAAATATCAAACAGTTATCATTACAGAAGTAATATAAAATGCCTTTTATTTTTCTTAGTAGCTTTGTATCTGACAAATTGTATGATGTATCCACATCCTTTATCTTTTTACATTTCTAAAACAATGAAGTTTAGATTAATTGAAAACAAAAAAAACGTACCAATGTCACATCAATGCTCAAAGAGCACAAATACACATTTTTCTAGTTATAGGGAGACTGAAAAAACCATATTTTTAAAATTAAATGCTTACCTGTAGAGCATAACATTATATGGAAGAAAGTTAGGGAGGAGATACTTAATAATGCGTATAGGAAGCCAGAGCATGAGCAGTACAATTGATCCAAAGACAATCTGCAACAAGAAAGTTAAACAAGTTAGTCCAAATAGCAGAAACAACCAAACCTAATTTCCCACCCATCTCTTCGGCACGTTTCCTGTGTGTGGTGGGTTAGCCCTGGCTAACAGGCAAACATCCACCCAGCTGCTCGCTCATCCCCCTCTCCGGCTGAATGGGGAGAAAACAGAAGGCAGGCAAGACTCATGGATTGAAATAATGACAGTTTAATAGAGAAAGCAAAAGCTGTGTGCACAAGCAAAACAAGGGGAGTAATTCAGTCACTACTTCCCATCAGCAGACAGATGATTAGTGACTTCCTGGAAAGCAGGGCCTCAGCACACGTTAACAGTTGCTCAGGAAGACAAATGCCATAACCAGGAACATCCCCTCCTTCCTCCTCCTTTCCCACAGCTTTTACTGCTGAGCACGACGTCATATGGTATGGAATACCCCTTTGGTCAGTTTGGGTCAGCTGTCCCAGATATACCCCCCTCCCAACCCCAGCTTATTTGCTGGAGTGGTGACAGAGTAGGGCAGAGCAGGACAGAGGAAAAGCCTCAAGGCTGTGCAAGCACTGTTCAGCCATAGCCAAAACACCCGGGTGTTAGCAACACTGTTTCAGCCACTAATCCAAGCACAGAAGGACACGGGCCCCTATAAAGAAAATTAATTCCATCCCAGGCAGACCAGTATGCTATGATGCCCTTGCCAAATAGGACTGCAGCTGAATAAGCACTGACTGGCCAGCTGACAGTTAGGATAATGTTGGACAGTTCTAATTTCTTCACCCTCCCCCAACACTGGGATCACTATTTTTGGATTCCTCTCCTAGTGGCTGAGTTTTCAAGCACCTTGTAGAAGCCTCACAAGATAGTTCAGTTTCTATTTCCTCACATTTTAAATTAGCTGAAAGATCAAAGTTTAGTAGGGGAGATCAGGTGCATGAAGACCATGTACTTTTATAAATCCTGTTTCCTAAAGGAACCAGATTAAATCAGATTAAATCAAGTACATTTTAAACACATTCTTGAACTTCATATAAATGCACCACTAAAGACTAAAAATGAAAAAAAATTATGCGTTTAACTATGTAAAAAGGAAAAATCAAATCCCATTCTTCTTGAAACGTAATAATTTATGTTCTACACAAGATATTTCTTAAAAATATTGAGAAAGAAACACAAATTGAAAAGTGTGACTTGTTTTTTTCAAATGGTAAGCTGTAAACGATTGCCATTCTGGGTCCCATATTCTGTCATAAGGCTGGTAAAAGTTCTGAATTAATTAGCTAAGCAAATCAAAAGGTGAAGTTCAAGCAACTACCAGTTCTAACACAGTCTGAGAATACGTCTCTAAGACTTTTAGTAACAAGCAAATCTTTGCTTATATTTGGGCCACTTGCTGTGACACGAAGTTTCAGGCAGCTAAAGCATTATGATTAAGGAAAAAATATCTGAAAGGTGGACAGGTCAGCTCCTCTCATGTTCTGAAGGGCTCTCTAACAGAACTAAGATCTCTCCATGAGCTTTCACTGTTCAAAGCACTTTAGATGTATTAATACAGTACATCAAGTAATGTTTCTGGTGTATCAGTTTTCAGAGCTGACGTGACATTTATGTCAAAGACAGCCTGAGACCTTTCCCTTACTGCATGCTAGGCAAACTTCAGACAAACAAGCAAAAGGAAAAAACTTCCATTGTTTTCAATATGTTATAATGATAATCTGGAAACAAACACCACTGGCTAGATCAGCATAATCCAATCCAAAACTTTACTAGAAAGTTACTCTACCCCTGCTGCACTACTTTAGCTGAATTGGACGCACAATGTTTACTGCAATAGCCAAGAGCATCATGAAAGAGTTACATGATTTACCATATCCATAATAATAAATACTTGTTGTCTGAAGACACGAACGTTTCCCGTGTTTTTGCATTAAGGAGAAGATACCACAGAAAAAATTTGTTTTGGAAGGGACCTATAGAGGTAAGCTACCCCAACACCCTGCTCTGAGCAGACCCAGTTACATCAGGTTGCTCAGAACCTTATCCAGTTGAGTTTTGAGTATCTCAAGAGACGTAGATTCTGTTGGCAACATGTTTCAGTATCTAATCACCTTCATAGGAAAAATGTTTTTCCTTAAATATGCAGTAGCACCTATGGGAGCTAATGTATGACATTTTCTTTCCAAATAAAGAAATTTTTGAGAAAAAGTCCTTACCACTGATAAGATAAACCTCCTGAGATGTCTATAAATGGGCAAGTGAATCATTTCCTGCACAGGATTAAAGTCTGGATCATTCAAATTCCTGAGAAACCATAAGACACCAGGTCTCAATACCTGAAGTAGGAAATAGAAAACAATATAGAAGAGAAAATTATCTTTGTATTCTTTGCTTTTCATTTTGGATAACACTGCTGCAGCAAATAAGTTTTAAACATAACAGGGGTATTTGTTGGACAAGGTTCAATCAAATGGTACAGAAACAGATCAAAGAAAGCATTATCATAGAGAAGTAGAGAAGCAATAACAAATTACAAGCTTAATGTTCAAGTGTTAATCAATCTTAAACAACTGAAATGTATTTAGATTAATTTGAAGGCAACACCCATGTTTAAGGGCTCTTTCTAAACTAAAAATCTCTAAGTAAAATATACGCTAAATCATCATTTTCCACCGCAGTAAGTACTAGTGTGGCCCTTTTTACATAAGGCTGAAATCCAATATACACACACAAAACAGTAGCAGCAATAGCCACATGTGAAAGATTTAACTAACAGTTCAACACACAAGCTTCTCTAACTATGTTACATACCAATCATGCTCTTACAGACTTACCTCTCTCAGTAAAAGAATGAAGGATGCAAAATAGAAGACATAAACCATTCCAACTAACCAGTGCAGAAACATTGTGGTACCTGGGGCAGACTGAAAGCTCAATTCTCTATCTTTCAAAGTGGCATCAAACATCTCCTAGAATGTAAGTAGTAAACAAATATGAATCAAGTTTGGCAAACCTCCACACTTACTCATTTGGTTTACCCTAGTTCATATATACTACTAGGCATTTAATTTAAATATCTGCCTTATGCTAACACATAAATAATTATAGCCTTTAATTAGGAAAAAAGGGAATAATTTACAATAAGAACAGCAAATAAAGATCAATTTCTGGTCAATTTCTTTCTTCTGACAGAAAGAAGAAAAATTACTCCAACACTAACATACACTACATAAGTTATAAATCAGTTCAAATGAAGTGGCACTGTGATGGAAGCAAATACTTATTCCCTTAAGCAAAATTCCATTTCTACTAAGACTAGAAGAAATTAATTTTCTCCAGTTGAAATAAATCACTTTTTTTCAGCACAGAAAAACTGTCCTTCTCAATTCCAAGCAAACACAGCTGTACCTTGTTCAAAACAGAAAGAGTTTGGACAACTATTAAAATACAAAGTCATTACCATTTCACTAAGATTGCTACATAAAGATGTTTATTCAGTACACAAGTTTGCCTATAAGTTCATTATCACAGTGATCTTGTAAATACAGTAAAAAGGATTAGGATCTTATTATTTTAATAATAGCATATTAATTTGTGTTTAGTAACAAAGGAAAATATCAAGCAGTACCTAAAAAACCCTTTCCCTCTAGAAACACCACGTTTATAAAAACAGAAGAGTGCTCTCAAACTCGTATCAACAACTCTCTTCTCACCAGAACTTTTTTCCTTTAAATATAAACACCATTAAAAAAATGTTTTATCCCATTTATTTCCATTCTTACCAAAGAGCATATATCCAGCCACCAGCCACAGATGAGAGGAAACACACCAATTTCAACCACCACTAACAAGGAAACCTTTGGGAAAAAAGAGAAAAGAACACCTCACTAGTTTAACAGAAATTGCTAAGAAAATTATAATGTAAGCTTAAATCAAGAGGGTTTTTTGCTACATAAAAAAAAAAAAGATTACCTTGACAACGATATAGCAAACTCCTAATAAACGACGTGATCGCTGAAACTTAACAAGCGCTGCCAAACCCTGAATAGTTTTGTCAAGAAAATAATACTGAAAAATACTTTATGACATATTTTGATTAATATGAAACACTATATTATGTGGCTTTTAGCAACAGGAAAGTTTATAAAAGACAAAAGTGAAATAGGAAGCATGTATTTTATCAAGGCTCCATTTTCAAAATTGTCTGTGATGCTGAAAGTCACAATCTGATTTGCTGGATTAGCCCCTCAAACGTGCATCTAAAATAAATGAATAAATAAATAAATAATAATACTACCACCCTTCTTAAATAAAGCATCCAAAAGTTTTTTCAAGAAATAAACATTTGCTTTTGAAAACGTCTGCCACAAGTAAGCAAGTTTCAAAACTGAAGGCCTACCTTAAATGGTAGCTTTCCTTTTCATGCAGGCTGAAACTAATTCTCACCATTTCCAAGAAAAGCTGGATGCCCATTACAGTTTGGAGGTTTGTTTTGTCTTCTTTTAGAAAGCAAAACAGAGACATGCCAATCTATTTTACCACATTTGCACTGCACAATGGCATAGTGTGGTCTAAAGTTGATGTTAGCCTTCTTGCTCTTGAACAGAAAACTGCTAACAAATGTTCATTCTTTCAAATTGAAGTTGGTGCAGTCCCTTTAAAACCATGCAGCTAGAATGCAGACTTTTTACTTGTGACCAAATCCTTTTGGCTATCAGGACTCCACTGTTACTTAATTTTCTCTGTAATAATGAGGGTTATCACGTGGAAGAAATCCTTGCTGCAAGCTCTCAGTGGTTCAGAGACATAAAAGAGAAACTAAACCAATCCACACTAAAGATCTGGCATGATCAATAAGATGTGAATATATTTCCCATCATACCCTATGTATTTCCATAACCCCATTTCTCTTTCTGCTGCAACTACGTAGCCCACAGCAATAGTGTAAGGACAGTGAGGAAGAAAACAATGGTTCTACACTCATCTTCTCAGACAGACCTTCAAAATTTAGTTGGAGGCCTTCAAGCAAGCATAAAAGCCTATGATTTTGTGTTAACCATGTGCAAGTGTTCCGAAGAATGCAGTCACACTGACAACTTTTAAATGTACAAGAGAACAGGAGAGACCTTTTCTTCTAATTTCAGCAAAAGAGCAGAGCAAAATAGTAAATTAATTGCATCTGCATCATGTCTGTGCCTCCTCAAAATATAGCCAGAAAAATTATTTGCATGTAAAATCTGAACCAGATAACTACTGACAAAAGGATACATGACAAACAATTAGAGTCACTGCTAGCAGAACATATCCAACTATAGTTGTAATCAGGCCTTCAAAGTGAGATGCTTGAACCTGTAGGGGAGGGGAAAAAAAGGGAAAGTTTATCAGTCTCTTAAAAGATTACATCTCCTTTTTATGTAATTAAGATGAATTCCAAATCCCAACTCTTCAAGAAGAATGACAAGTTTTTTAAAAATATGTAAAAACTAAAGATCTACTAATATCTGGTATCTCCATCAAGAGAGAAGATGTTAAGATTTACTGGAAAAGTCCAACAATGACTTTCTTCAAAGATGAAACAACCTCTATATATGAAACAAAAAGCATCACCTTACACTACCCCACTACCTCCTAGTTTTCACTACATATTATCATCAACTATGAAAATGACTCAGTAAACAAATTAAAAATGTACATGAGAACAAGAGGCTGTTAAAAAACCCCACAAAACCGTATTCATATTTTTGTAAAAGAAGGAAACCTCACTTGAAATGTAAATAATGGAGGAAGTGGGAAAGAAAACATTTTTAGTGACAGATTGAAAAAGTTTTGAGGAGAAAAAACGAAACACTCCCGGTTACATTTGCGATCAGGTTACTTTTGCAATCACAAATAAAAACTGGAAGGATGCTACAAAAATATTGTGATTAAATAAACAGCAGCAGTTTTTCTCATTTTGAAATTATAAACCAGTACTTACATATTCCTCAAAGCCCAGGCCAACAATGGAGAAATGACCAATGTGGTACGGACAAAATGCTGCAGAGCATAAGCACAAAGGAGGGGAAAAAAAGGCTATGAAAACTGCTAAACAGAGCCTTATTTGCAGGATGTGTATTGTAACATGGTAATTATTCTGCTTCTCATCAATTTTGTGAAAACAACTAAAAAAGATTACTTTCTGTGCAAATATTTGCAAGTATTATACTTCTGTAATTCTACAAACACCGAAAATCAGATCAGAATTCACACTGAGAGACTACAAACAGTATAAAACTACAGAAGAAAAGGACAGTCTTTTCCTTCTTAGCTCATCTTGCTGTGTATAAATTCATTTAATTTCTCAGTCTTACATACTAGGGTGGTATCTGTCTCAGACTGCTGCAGGAATCTGTTCTGTATATTTACTCTTTCCCATGCACTAAAAGACTTTAGCCATTTTACATCTTGATCAGATGGGACTTGCTTTAGCAAGGTTTCAGTGCTTTAATTCTTAGGAATACTGTGAAAAATACAGTAGGCTGCATGCCTACTGCAGGCTTGCCCTGCAGAAACTTGCAAGGGGAAGAGAAGATGAGGGGGAGAAAGATGATGCTCCAGTGAAGGGATGAGGAGCAACTGAGAATTCTTTTACTTTGAATTAATGTACTAAGAACCATCATCATTCCTGAGAACTCACTCTTGCCAATTCTGAGGTCTCAGGAGGCATGAATTAAAACACACAGCACTTTCCCCATTTTTGGGCACCTGTGTATTTGCAACAGGTTCAAGTAGTTGTTTTAGCTCACTCTGTGGTCTTCTAACCAAGCTACAAACAACTATAGAATTCAACATCAGTTTCCTACAGAAGTAGAGGGACTCAATAGGAAGTAAAGGGGCTGCAGTAACTACAAGCTTTTATTTTCACCTACATTACCTTCACTATATCATGGTAATCCACTCTGGGGACTACTGTAGACTAAACACACACTCAAATGAAAAGCCTGCTGATTTTCTCTCCTCATTTCCATATGACCAATATGTAAAAAACTAGGAAAAGATTTAGCAGGACTTTTATTACCCTAATCAATGATCAGAAAGTTTAAATTTATGTCTCTTTCAGAGAAATCAGCAGTTACTAGGAATAACACAAAAGTGAAAGATAAAGGGAGAACTTGAGCTCTTCCTGCCCAGTAAGAAAAGCGAGATTAAAAAAAAGTGCTCAAAACTCCTATAGATATCAGACTCATGACTTAAGCGGCATCTTTTTGACAGTGTTTTATGAGCTTATAGTGCACAGTTTATCATGTTTTTTAAATAACGTTATTTAAAAGAGAATTTCTAATAGATCCCTTTTATTAAAAAGCATGAAGGAGTACCAACTCCTCTGTGAGTACTAAAATGAGCTACAAAAAATATGAATTAAGTCAAACTTAATTAACTTGTGCAAGAGAACATCATAGGAGAGTTTCTGGACTAGTAATTAAGGTTCCAAATGCTTTCTGTCTGTTTTGTCTTCTAGAAAGTACCTCCTGTGACATTTGAACTCACTGGGACTGTAATTATGAATAACTAAGAGATTCAGTTGTAAATTAGGCAGTATTACTTAGTGGGAAAGATACTAACTATAGGCTTGAGGCACAAATTAAATTCCCAGATCTCCTGCTTGCTTGGGAAAGTCATTCCCCTTCTCTCCTTGTTAGTTTCCCAGTTGTTAAAGGACACTTAGAGCTACTGAAAACACATCTATATGACAACCTTATTAATTATTCTTATTACTTATTTACTGAATTTACATCAATGATTTAGGAATTTAATAAAGATTATCTACTTATTGAAAAAGCCTAAATTTTATAGCAGGTAAAAAACATAAATAACTTCTGATAACTACAGATTAAAATAGACTAATTATTAGAAACAAATAATTCAAGTATTTTCCAACTCTTGTTAGAACAGTTACAGTTTTTTGTGAATTAAATATACATGATAATTATTTTTATTTTCTTTTGATCTGCTGATTTGTTTCAGTAACTAGATGCTCAAATCACTGGCTCAGTATTGTGAGCTTTACTTTGCCAGCAAAGATTTCTTATCTACAGTATGACATCAGTTTTTAAAGCTCAAACTCTCCTGCCAAGAAAGACCACTCAAAAAACCAAAGCAACATAACCAATCCCTTTCCAAACTGATAATTCAGAGCAAGTGAAATTTTGTATCCAGTATATCTTCAAGCATATAAAATGCCCTATCTTGTCACTAAAATGCTGCTGCTTCTGCACGCAGTTCTGTGAAATTAACAACACGAACAAGCTCAAGCACCATAACCCAAAAGCTTCTGTTAGCAGCTAAATAGGCAAAACTGAGTCACAGGGAAGAGCTGTTATTCTCTCATGTCACTCAACAGGTGTAAAGTACAAAAAAAAATTCTGAATCACAGTCTAATGCCTCTCAGGAGGATCTTAAAAAAATATGTATTTCTAACTGTGTTACCCCCCTTTCTGCAGTAAAACCAGAGTGGGAATGCAGATTTACCCTACATATAAGCAGCAAATATAAAATAGGAATTGCAGAAACTCTCAAGGGGGAGCTTACTGCTGTTCACAATAAGGCAAGCATTCTACCCTTTTCTTTTAGGTTTCAAATGATTAAGAAATATACACCTACAGTTTGACAATTTTTTTTTTAAGCTGTGACAAGTTCATGTCCAAGAAATTTTCCTATCACATGGAATCAGTTAGAACATGAAATATTCCTGTCTTGTACTAGAAATACAGAGAGTCTTGCAAACATTTAAAGTTGCAGTTCAGCTTCAGCATCTACAGGAAGGAGAAAGTAAAATAAAGCAAAATACATCACTAACTAGAATTTACTATTTTCTAAAATTTAAGTCTAAATTGTATGAACTAAGGAGAGTTGTTCTGTAGTAATTTTAGACACAAAATGAAAGTATATTTGACAACTCTACAGTCAGCTACATTCTTGCATGCCCCCCTCCCTCCCATTTTTGAGCTCCAAAAATGGATTCTTGATGGAAAAAGTGATTTAACTATATCTAATGAAAACTGTAAGGAGAAAAAGTTATCCTAGTAATTCTTAGAAGCACTGCATTTGCTAATAAATTAAATTCTAAGAGGTTCCTCCTTTAATTTAACAGTATTCCAAACAAGTATTATTTTCTGTGCTTTGGTCGACATCATTAAGCTTTCTGGTAGATTTCCTATTTTAAACCTATTCACTTAATTAAAATGACAAAACTAGAAGCAATAAAGATTATTCATATTCCCAGTTTGTTTGTGGTTCCATTTTTAGATATCACAACTTCATTTATTCTGAGAGAACAGCCTTAAAAGTAACCTGCATTATCACTTCACAAAGACGGATCTTTTTAAAACCTAAGAGCAAATGATACTTACCAAACACAAGGATGAACAACGTATTTAAAGATACCACCCAAAAGACATGTTCCTGTGAGGAGTATGGGGGAAGGAGGGAGGAAGACGACAAGGAAACAGTACATAAATGTCAGCCATTTAAATAGATGACTTTACTTTTGTATCTAAACTTCTTATTTCAACTGCCTATTATTACCAGAACTTGCACATCTCATGTTAGAGCCAAGAAATTTGCTCTACCACAAAGACCAAAACATGCAGGACAGATTATGAAAGCATCTGTTTACGTTCACAGACATTTGCTTAGATAAGAGCACTTATATTTGCTTTGACACTCTTATTTTGTAAAAATAAGGTTTTAGTATCAATATAAACAGTTCCACCCCTAAAAACAATTACATGAAATGTATGTGGATATTTGTTTTAGAAGTGAGAAAATGTTCATCTGAACTTTTAACAATTAGACTTTGCCACAAGAAACCTGTTAACAAAACTGATAGCTCTCACTGTAGAAATGACAGCATGTCTCTATTTTTTAATATTACTTTTGGCTAAGATGTGAACTCAGCCATAAGTACACTAGAATTTTAATTCTTTTTATATTAGTATTTAAGGTCAATCAATAATGACATAATAAGCTACGTTATTTTAAACATGAGACTTTACATTAAAATATCAGACATTTTATTTCAGACATGAGACATTTATCCACTACAGTATCTAATAAACACTTTCACATTTAAGAATTGTAGTTCTTTCACACATTAAATAAAGCAAAATTTAGACTGCTGGAAGAGAGCACAGATCTTTTTTCCCTTTAAAATATAAATTACTTCTCTTTTTAAAATAAGTGATCTGGCAGATGATACCCAATCAACGGAGCTGTGATGGGTTAAAGTTTTGTTGCCATCGACTCTTTGCGCTCCCTCTCCCCTGACCCTGAAGTCAGAGCTAGACACCTCCAACTGTCAGGTAAGATGGACAGCAGAGAGTGAGCGCCCTTCAAATAAACTGTAACAAAGCCCACTAGAAGATACCCATTATATCTAAGTGTTTGTCACGGAGCAAATCAACACAGGTTCATCCACACACCAGTGTTAAAAAGCCAACAGCCTTTTTAGGAGTGCTTTGCTAAATTATCATAATCATAAAGATTTTTGGAACAAATTTAAAAGATATGTGCTCCACAAAACAGACTATAGTGAAGATTTAAAGAACGATTTGATGCTGACATCAGTTAAAATAATATTCAACAGGGGAAAAATTCTAAGGAGGAACAAAAAAAAACCCCAAATAAAAATCAAGAAACATAACTGAAGATCATAAATTTTAAAACCTAGTCTACACTAAAAATTCACTAGGGGTGTCTGGTGGTATTAGGGCAAATCAGAGAAGTCTGAATGAGGACACTATTTTAATCATAACATAAAGAGCAAAACTTAAGGCTAGAATAGATACGTATTTTCAGTGTATGCTTTTTTAAAGGGTCTAATATTTATTTAGAGTGGAGTATATGATCCAAAGCTACCTATGTCTTAAGAAATACCACTTTTATGACACACACACAAATCTACCCTGTGAAACTCCTAAAAAGACAGTTTGCTTGAACGTGACATCATATGTATTTTTTAAAGAGACTTTCAAATCATATGAAAATAGGGACTTCAAACAGAATGATGTAATTTTAAAAAATACAGTTTACTTTTTTTAAAAAAGTGCCTTCTATAGAAATCCTCGAAACACAGTATTTCACTTACTAAAAAAACCAGAGATCCATCAAGTCCAAGCATCTGTGAAGATAAGAAAGTTAATTTTATTTACTCTTCAGAAAAACTAAACAACGCACATCTAAAATAAGCTTCATAGAAGCCTCTTTCACACCAACTTTTAATGTCCAATATGGTCAAAAGCTTTTTTTATTGCTCAACCAACAGAACCTGGACATAAATTCTTAAAGATAAAGATAGGAACTAAGTTCTTGTTCAACACAGTAAACTCAGTTGATCAAAGGCAGTGATATACATGTGGAATATCTTAATACACATGTATTTATATATGGCAAACCAAACACAGAACCATAGAATCGTTTAGGTTGGAAAAGACCTTTAAGATCATCCAGTCCAACCATTAACCTAACATTACCAAGTCCATCACTAAACCAATTAAGGGTAGAGTAATAATTTCATGTTTCCTTGCTTGGTGGCTGGATTATTTTTTAATGAAAGTAAAAACTAGGAATCGTTAAGATTGGAAAGGACCTCTAAGATCATCAGTCCAACCATCAACCCAACACCACCATGCCCACTAAACCATGTCCCAAAGTGCCACATCTACCCGTTTTTTGAACACTTCCAGGGATGGTGACTCCACCACCTCTAGGAGGTTATTAGATTTATAAGCTATTTCTCTCCAAGGACTTTGAAGACTCTGACAAAGATTTTGTATTTACAAAAGATTCTAGTGATTGAACTGTTAATTAAAAACATGTTTAAACAACTCAATATTAAAATACAAGAGCAAATTTTTTCTTTGCTTCCTAATTGCAAAGTATCAGTTTATGTTGCACTGAAAAAAGTCAAAGGCTAATATTTTACCTTCAATGTATAAAAGCAACTAGTAACGGGATAATGTTGCTACACTGTATGTAATTAAGTTTAAAACAGAACTGGTTTACAGCTAGGGAAGACAGAAACCAAATCCTCCATCACTGTGAACAGCTGTTACGGGAAGTGTCCACAGAACAGCCAAAACCAGAGCTTCTACTAAAACAAAAAACAAACCCAAAAATCTCCTCTTTCCCCCAACTTCAAGGATTTCTTACTATTTCAGCCCAGACATGCCTACTCCACGATTACTGCTGTTAAGTACCAGGTTCAAGGCTATTTTGTACCAGGATTTTGCACTAAGTTAAAGTTGCACATATTTTACAAAGTAAACCAAGATGCAAATATTTTTGAAAATTCAGAAAGCTTGCATGCTATTTTCACAAGGTGAAACAGCAGAAAAGCCTACCCCACTTTTGATACTAAATGCCAACTAGATGTCTATTCCTATGCCAGAACACAGGATTGGAAATGGTTGTAAGAGTTTGCTGAAACTGATTTCTATATTCATGGAGAGGCATCAAAGTATTTTCAATTAGGAGTACATCAACACTTCCCAGCACATAAATGGGATTCAGAAATACACCACCTTCATCTTGAGATACACAGTAGAATGGTTCTGAAACCTGAATTTCTGTATGTCCTTTTTCACTAAATATCTTTCAAAACAAACCAAGTTTTCACTAGATAGAAAACAAAGGTCAAGACTAGTCCCTCACGATGAAAACTATACTTCTACTACACTGCAATCAAGGCAACAACTATACCACAGCCCAGGAACACAGTGAGTAGCTTTACAACTGTCTGCCATAGGCACTAGGGATGCTACTAAATCATGTGAAGCTGCTGTATCTACCTTCAGGTAGATTTTGCTGCATGCAGTGAGCTTTGAAGTCAGATGTTGGCTACTTCTAAGCCAGCTACAAAAAACTAGTTCTTGAGTCTCTACACTACTCTATTATTACAGTGTACATGCATCTCATGCTCTAATTATGGAATTTGTGATCCATAAACAAAACAGAAGCAATGTTACATTAAAATGCTCCTTTTTTTTTAAGAAATAAATTTGTCTCTTGCAGATATGTAAATAAAGCAAATTAACCAGAAATTTTGGTTCTCTCTTTTCTTTAGTTTAATGCTTTCATGAATACAAAAATTAAGCATTAAACTATATATAACGCAACACCTATTGTGCTCCTAATCTGGCCTAGCATTCTCAATGTAAGCTGCAATTCATTTCTAAACCTGACCAAGCGGAAGACTTCAGAAAAGTCTGTGCTAAAACATGTTTTAAGCTACTACTGTATTTCAAATCAAAGAAATGCCTTTTTGATAGTTAACAAGTAGCATAATAGCATTTTGGTTTTAATACAATGACTTTTTTAGACCACTGAAGCCTCTTACTAATAGTTTTCACACTAGACAATGGTATCCAAATTATCCCAAATGGGTTTTAACACAGCAATATTACAAATCATTTCAAGTATGAGTCTGAATTATTCAATTCAAGAAAATGATTCTTACTCACTCGCTCCCAAGTAAGCTCTTCTGCTGCGCGATCCCATTCCAAAGCATTCCAGTTCATGTCATCTGAGGAGACAATGGCCATTTTTACAGCTGTTACGCTCGCCCAAAACTAGATGTAACCACTCCATGCTATGTTTTAAATGAACAAAGACTTAAGTGCATAACATTCAACTCATAATTGCTGATAGCTTTATATCAAGAAAGTGCTTCATCACTCAAAAGAAATATATGAAATTTGCAAAAACAAGATAAATAAGCTGAAGTGGGAATTTACACAGCTTCCTTGAATTATCACAGTCCTATTTTCAATGGCTTCATTTATATTTAAAAAGAACGAGAACATTACTGTTTTGAGTCACCTGTTACCTTGTGCTCCATTGTTTGGATCTGCTGCATCTTCTACTGCAGCATCTTCTTCATCTTCATTATCCTCCTCCTCTTCATCTACTTGTTCTTCTTGAATTTCAGGGTTCTCACCTACAACTACATTCTCAGCAGCTGGGTTAGCAGGTTGATCAAGCACAGCATTTTCAACACCTCCATTTACAACAGCCTGAGCCTGCAGAAACAGTATTAAGTATTGTTAACTTGATCAACCTCTCTCTGTACTTTTATCCTCTATATAGAAAAAACAAACAGCGTTAAAAAATTTTAATAATGTATTTTTTAGATAAGCATTAAATTTGGGACCACTAAACCTTTTAAAAGAGGAAGAGAAACATTCAGACTTCTTCAAGGAGTAGCTGAGGTTGGAAAGGGCCTCTAGCGATCATCTAGTCAACCCACCTGCTCAAGCAGGGCCAGCTACAGCAGGTTGCTCAGTGCTGTTTCCAGTTGGCTTTTGAGTAACTCCAGAGATGGAGACTTCACCACCTCTCTGAGCAACCTGTTCCAGTAATTGATCACACAGTAAAAAAAAAAAAACCAAACAAAAAAACCAAACCAAAACCCAAAACCAAACACCACATCTGTTTGGGGGTTTTTTGTTAGTTTGTTTTTTTGGGTTTGGGGTTTTTTTTCGTCTAAATGGAATTTCCTGTATTTCAATTTGAGCCTACTGACTCTTGTCCTGTCACTCAATACTGCCAAGATGACCCTGGCTCTGTCTTCTTTACATCCTCCCATCATGCATTTATACACACTGATAAGGTCACCCTGAGCCTTCTCATCTCCAGGCTGAACAGTTCCAGCCCTTTCAGCCTCTCATCGTATGTGAACTGCTCCAGTCCTTTAATAATTTTTGTTGGCTCTTCACTGCACTTGCTGCAGTATGTCCAGGTCTTTGGTACTGGGGGAGCCTAGAACTGGATCCAGCACTCCAGATGTGGTCTCACCAGTGCTCAATAAAGGGGAACTCTCTTGATCTTATTAAAACTATCATATTAAAAAGATGATAATTCAAGGACAACCCAAGTCAGTCATCAAGCTGAGGATCTCTGTCTTTAAAAGATTGAAATGTATTACAAAAGAAACCATTTTAATTATTTCCCCCCATGCACATATTGCTTACATCATCTTTTCTCCTGCCCAACAGGCTCCTGTAAGCACTAAAGGGGTGCATGTGTGTGCGTTGGGGGGTGGGGGGAGGGCAGGGAAGCTCCAACTTCAGGTTTCAGCAAAACCTCCAACTGTTTTGAGAACAGTGAATTGTTACTCCATGAACTACTGAAATACTTATGGAAAAGACAAGACAAAAGCAAGCTGCATCTTCATTGACTATGGCTGACAATTCACCTTTATATGCACAAAATTATCTTAAAACAAGTGTAAAGATAGACATAAGAATCTAAACAATGTTAAAGTTACTTTACAAAAATTATACTATAACAAATCCATTAGCATTCCATTTTACAGAACTTCAAAAACATAACAGTGGTGTCACTGAGTTTATACAGGAACACATGCTCAACTTCTGCTAATGTACAAATAAAGATACACAGCAGTAAAATAACATTATTGTTGGGTTCTGATAATGTATTTATTCACAAAAACACATTTTCTAAATTTATCATGAACTACTGAGCAGTTAAGTTTTACCTCATTTTGCTGACCAACACCATTGAGTGGCTGTTGCTGATTTTGTTCCAACCACTGTGGTGCTCCTCCATGGACAATCTGTTCACGTAACCAAACAAGGCTGATAAATGCACACAGCGTGCATGTTACCACAAAACAGCCCTGCAAACAGTCAGCCAGTAAGTTCTCCCTGTTAAAGAAAGAAAAAAAAAAAAGACAAATATATTTTGCTAATAAGACTAAACTTAGTCACTTTTAACTACCACAAACACATCCTCCTAGTCAAAATCAACAAATAAACTGGTATTTGTGCAAAAAGCTGAATTTATTTATGTCTAGGTGAAGAAAGTATCTAGATGTGATTTTTACTTAATTTAAAAAAAAAATCTGTTCAAAGAAGGTTTCTTTTAGGAGGCCTGTATGCATCTGTGTAAAAACAGTTTTAAGTGCCAAGATAAATACCAATTTGGAAAAGGTTTTATTTCCCTCTGGTTTGGTTTGTGAAATTACTACTGTTTAAACATAAATATTCCTGCAAAACAGGATCTGACTCATTATGAAGAGCTTCAAGAGTAGTTCAGGAAAAACAATCTTCAAGAATAGCAAAGGAAACACAATAGTCACTAAGTAAATGATTTGCTACAGTAACAAAAAAAAAAATCTTTTTAAATAGCTAGATGCATAATATCCAGTCCACTGAAACATTTTATCTGCTGAGCTACCCTAACCAAAAGAATGGAACTGCAGGGTTTGCTGGCAGCTGCACTACATTTTGGGAATTCTTTTATCCCAGATATTATCTCTATACTTTAAAAATCCTGATCTATCAAGTCATATATAACTGTAAAGCAGCAGCAAAACAAAGTTCAGTTAGCCAACTGAAACTAGGGTTTCATGCAATGCAAGAGGTACTTAAATTGGCTTAGGAAACCCTCATCCCTAACTTCAGGTACCCCCTCCCACTTGTTTCCACCCTTACACTATTGCTTGGCCATAGTGAATTTGCTCAGGAAACTAACCAACTACAGTACCTTCTTTAAAATAAGAAATACACCACCACAGCACGCTGCCATCCCCAAAGAAGTATCAGCCTAGCTCTCCATGCAGCTGCACAAACACTTGTGTCTACACAGCACAGTGAATACCATGGGGACAAGAAGTCCAAAATGAAAAGATGACAGAAGATGCTACTGAAATTGACTCTGCCAAAGAAATACACATCAAAGCACAGCTTCACATGACATTAAAATCTGACAGATACTCGAGTCCTTTATTTTCTCCCTAGACTGTAAAAGACACAAGAAGAGGTGCTCTAGGTCCAGTTGTTTCAGATTCTTCTCAGAAAAATGAAAATAAAATCTACACTTACTGGGAGATAACAGGAAAAATGCTATCACTAATCTCAAGCATTAATAAAAATTAATTAAAGGTAACATGACCTGATGTCTCAAATCAAATAGCCCAACTGAGATGACTTAGCTGAACTACACAGGACATTCATTCAAAATATGCTTGACTTGCAACTGATTCTACTCAAACTGAGTGTCAGTTCCTCAGGTTCAAGATAACGAAAAAAGTAAGAACCAGTCTGAAGCTCTGTTGTGTTGGTATTTATTGATTCTTTAAGTAATATTGATTTAGAAAAGACAAAGACAGACAATATTCAATAGCATATGGTGATTGAAGCATTAGAATCTAAGTGTCAGCTAGAAGGCAGTCTGAAAAAAAAAATCCCTATCACATAAGAGACTCAAGATGGCTAAAATTAAATTCAAAATATAAAAATGTAACAAAGCAAACAGAATGTGACATTATTAGCAGTGGCATCTGATTTAAACTGTAGAAATTAATTTTTTAAATTATTAAGTATAATTTTGCAGCATAAATTTTCTTGACATCAAATATAAATCTTCATTAACCAGGGCCCATTTTGTAAAGTCAGTTTTCCATCTCCAAAGATCCTGAATAACAGAACTTCAAAGTGAAATGATTTCTACTGTAATACTGTTGGCCATACATCTTGTTATGCAAAGGGTAACGGGCAGCTGTTTGCATTTGATGATGGAAGATAACAAGCATAACTGGAAGAAAGGGACCCCAAGTTCCAAAGCAACCATCTTCATGGTAATCTGACTAGAAAAGTTATTTATATCAAACTGTTTTAAGTACTTACGTTGACAGAATATCTAATGGCAGTGTCAGTAGTGAGCTCACAGAGCCAGTAAACAAGCACTTGTAGATACGACCTGTATGAAGAAACAGAAGCGTGGTATGAATTAGATTTTGGTTATAGCCTCACTTAGAAAGGACCATAGGTATGCTCTTTTCACCTGGTGTCCTAACTAAATTCATGACAAGAAAAAAAAATCTCAACTTTCAGTGAAATAACAGAACTCAAGACCATATACAAACACGTGGAAAAAAGCTGTATTTATTTTAGCTGAACATTCTTGATAAAGTATACATTCAAAGTGTAAGAATTGCCATACTAGGTTAGACCCAAGATTCACCTAGATCTGTCTCCAGCACTGGTCACACCAACAGATGCCTAAGGAAGAATATGGAAACGGGTTACAAATACTTGCAGCAATACTTCCTCAGTACGTTCTCATATGCTTCATGCAAAGCGGCTCAGTTCCTGAGCCATAGTATCTCAGTGCTAATTAATCCTTGATGGAACACAAAAGAGACCAGGGCTATAGCTGATCTCATGAAAATGTTCAGTCTCATGGTAGTCAGTACTACTTACACATTTTATATTGAACAGTCACTGAATCAAATTTAGCAAGGTGACACTGATCCTCTGCTGCCAGTGAGTTGCAATAATTTGCCTCTGCCTACTATCTAGCTACACAGTGGGGGAACTTCAAAGGGGCAAGATACCACTGTGAACTCCGACAGGCTGAAAAGGTCAAAGAACACAAAATGCCTTATAACTCCCAGTTACACTACACTGGTAGGAAACCAGATTAACAAAACTCATTGTGAGATTTTATGGAATAGGAAGGGGGTCTTGTTACACAAAATCTCTAAACAAACTGATCTCTAAGCAAGCTATTTTTCCTCACAGATGTCACTTGCTCACTCTCATACAAGCACTAAGACATGCATGCCCAAGTAGTCTGTACAGGATAACTTGTGGGCAACATGGAAGACAAAGGACACCGGCTAGTAAATCCTCATCATATCTCTTGGATTATTCTTGATTGGCATTTATGAACCGATTTGAGACTTGCCTTTTATACTCTTTATGAGTGGATGCCGTTTGGGATCTTTGCCTCATTGCTTTATTTCATCCCTCTTGAGCCTGAGGCAAAATTCACAGTTCTCCTGTTTTCCTTATCTATGTATCTTGTAACTTCAGTCCTGTTCTTTATTTTCCTGACACCTTATCTTTAGTCTGTTCTCCCTCGATTTGAATGAAATCACATATACAGTGCTCTTTGGCAAACAGGAAATACTCCTTTTAGCCCTTCTTCTGCTCGTTCTTGTGCTCACATACACAGTTCCATTCATGCTTTACTCATGCCAATTTAAGTAGTTGTATTACACATCTCTACAATTTTAACCACTACACAATTACACGAAACAGGTATACAACCATTCTCATCAGCTTTTTTTTTTAAACGGCAACTGAATCACTCCAGAAAAATACATTTATGTGCCATATCGCTATGTGAACAGTGATTTCTAAAATCTGAGATAAAGGAGGCACTTTGGACAATCCAACTCCCACTCTAGCATTTCCTACTGCCTTAGTGTACACATTCACTTTACTCAGTGCGTACACCTCCTTCTTACCCCACGTACTGTATAGGTACCTTGGGTATTTCACTCTAGGAACCATGCAGCTAAATACAATTATCACAGAGAATAAAACCACTTTGGATTAAATTGGCCCAATTAATCCCACTTCTCTGAACAGATCATAGCAAATTGTGTAATTGGCTTTTTTCATCTACTAATGTAAATACGCTTTGTGCTAACAGAATAGCAACAGCATATCAGACCCTGCTGGGATTAGGCTGAGAGTATGCACAGAGAAAATAATTCCTTTAACTCAACCATACAAGATGGGTATGCAATAAAGCAGTGAAATTACCAAAAAAGAATGTAGAATTTATCCCACAATAGGATAACTGCAATCTGGAAGGCAGATTTGTTCAACCATACATCTAGTTCAGTATGTTTGACAAGTTTTTTATGCTGCACCTTTTTCTTCCAGATATAAAATAATGAGAAGAATACTTCATTGTGAAGCCAGCCACACATAATTATGTAAGCCATATGACAGAAACAGGGAAGGCAAAAGATTACATTGAAAAGTATTTAAATATTACAGAAAATTAAAGATTACATTAAAGGCATTTAATGTAAGAAGACAAGACCTATACAAAATCAGACAGATCCTGACAAATTTAAAAAACGAATGGATTTTCCAAGGTTTGTTAGACTGGATGGCTCTATCATGTTGGATATGTTCCTGTGCAAATATATTACCCTTCACAATACATTAATTCTTAAAGGAATCCATAAACAGGGGTACATGTGCAATGTTAGAAACTAATTAAGACAAAGTAAAAAAAAACCAGTCACTTGTAAATCAAAATCATAAGTCAGTTATGTTGCTTAGTAAATAAGTATTAAAATCCAAAAATGATGTTCGTATAAAAAGAAAGACACAAAGGAAAAATCAACCACCAAAAAAACACCACCTACAACTTAGTTATATAGTTTTGGGTGTTGACTTCCAGCATTTCAGTATTACTGAAGAGCCAGCATCGGATTTTCAGACAGTTATGACATGTAACTACCTTAATTAATCTACTGAATATGAAAAAAACCCCAAGATTCATCTAAAAACCCAAGGAAGAAATTTGAAATATTTTTTCGTTTCAATGTAAATCTTGTTTATTCTATGCCCAGAAAAGCTCTCTTTCTCACACAGGAAGGACAGACTGCAGAAACAGGACCACTCTTTTATAGCTGATGGCAGTATTGCACTATTCTCAAACTAAGCCAATGCCAGCTAGAAATAAAAGCACAGAACATATTAACAAACTGTCCAAGGAGATGCTTTTACTGGCTCCCTGCTCTTTTGTTCAAGGGGTACCTTACTGTTTGTAAAGATGCACTTCCAATCATTTCCTTGACTGAACACTATATCCCTTTTGCCTTTTTTCATCTTCTCTATATTTTTAGCTTGTTGAAACATCAATAGTTCTCTTTCCATTTGTATTTGAAAAGTGAATTTCAAACTGGATACTACAGTAACTTAAATGTGTGCTCTCTTTTTCTGTTCAATTTCTTTACTACTTTATAGTAGTAGAGTTTATTACTCATCAATTTATGTATGACTATACAGGAATTTCACTTTTCATACTAAAAAAGAATATTGCCCTTTCATTTATAAGTGGTTAGAAAACCCAGGACAATTCTTCTAATCTAATATTAATATATGGTATAAAATCTACATGGAAGTTTTTATTTGAAAGAAGATAATTGAAAAGAGCTATTTTATTGGAATAAGAATCCCTTTTATGCATTTTCTCCTATCTCTTAACACCTTCCTGCATTGCACTACTGGCTTAAGAGTCAAATAGCTAGAACTTATGAGAGAAAATAAGTGAAACAATGTCTTTGAATTTATGATTTATTTTATTTAAATAAACCAACAATGGTCTCACAAAACTTTGTTGCAGGAAGTGGTATATTTTCCTGCCTATAAGAATATTACAGTACAAAAAAATTAATACTTACATGCAGTAAGAGGTACTACGCCCAACCATGCAAAGGCCACAAGTGTATAATGAAACCAGTATCGTATTGCTGTGCCAATACTTGTAACCAGTCCAGCAAAGATGTCTTGGATTGGAAGCCGTGAAGGCATATCTGGGGAATAAACTGTGTAGAAAAGGCACTTATGAAACAGTTCTTTCTTTAAAGAAGCATTTATGTAACAGTCCTGCCAACTACAAAATGTTGTAATTGACAAAAGCTTACTAGAAGAGTAACCATATATTTTATAGATTCCCAAGAGATGACACCAAACAAATAACAAAAAATTTCACATCACATATTTGTTACATTGTGTAATGAGTGGAATGGAAAAATTAATAAACTCCACGCTAGTTTTTGACTTAAGAGAAGTTTTCTTAATAGCTTTGTTTATCAACTGTAAACTCTGATTATCTCAAAATAAGCTCAAGCATGCACAAAAAAGCATATTCTAAATTCAGTAGCCCTCCCACTCAGCACTCCCTCAAAGATATCCCTGTCTGTTACTTATAAACCTAGTTCAAGAGAAGAGCACAAGGAACAAGAGAAATTAGCAATTTTGCATACTATTAATGTGTGAGATAATTCAGATTCCACTTCCTATCCAACAGCACCAAAAAAAAGAAAAAAAATCAGCAAAATAAAAGTACCACAGAGACAGGAAAACTGAAGAGAGCTGTTTAAGTATGTACAGACATTGAAATTTACACAGAATTACTTTTACTTTCCATAGATACCTATTTCATACCATGCAAGATTTCTTCTAAGGTCACCCCTATTACAGAACATAATGCAAATCTCTCAGCCTGTATAGACATTTTCATAATAGTAAATTTTCTTGACTTTTTAAGTTCAACACCTGTATATCACATAAACCCATCCCTACTCAAAAGCCAAGAAAAACAGTGACAGGGCTGCTTCTTTTGCAAACAATTAGAAAACATCTATCTCTAACAATTTCATTAAATTTAGTTAGCTTCTACACACTTATATGGATGCCAAGAAGTGGTAATGCACAGTATCAATAACAGATTTGAATAAAGATGATAAACTGCAGTTAGGAGTTGCACAAAGACATTGCTGCCTGGATATTCAACAGTTATGCTGGAAACAGCTGAGCTTGAAGACTTTAACACATTTAATTAGTGGACTTTTTTAAATCACCACATACTTTTAACTACATAAAGGAACTCAATTTTTATAAGAACTACTAGAGAAAAGTTTTCCATCCCTCTCATGGACAATCCTTCGACTCCCCATCATCCTCAACCTTCCTCCATCCCTTAATTCCCATCCCAGTAATCTTTCCTCAATCAGTTTGAGAAACCAATTTCGTACATTATTTACCACAGTTCCTCCAAATAAAAATATCTCTACTGGAGGCCAATTAAAGCAACAGTTTTTTCTATTACTGCATGAAATTCAAACAGACTTTGGCTGAGCATAAGTGAGCTTTAGTTCAACATTTGAGCTGTCCAGGCCATGTTTGGCTGGTTGTTTTCTGGGGGTGGGTTTTTGTTCCACACACACCCTCCCCGGTAAGCCTAACCTTTTCAGGAACACAAATATTAATTTTGCTTCTCCAAAGCAGACAACTCAGGACAGAAATCTGCTATTACACTGACACAAATAAGGTAGGAAAAACACAAGGCTGTCTTTAGAAATTTTCCTTCTCCTAGAAAAAATAAGAAAGCAGAGAATATTGATTAGTAGTTTTCAGGGAAACAGTTTGCCAGTAGATTTCAGCTGACAAAAAAATCCAGAACAAGGGGGGTGGGGAGGGGGGGGGAAGTTCCCAATGCTCTATCTTACCAAAGTGATACCTTTATTACAGGAAACTTTCTCATCATTCCCATTTCCTCAGAGGCTATTCAGTACAAACATCACACAACTGATGATTGACAAACACAATAGGGACAATCTGCTGAACATGAATGCTATTAATTCCAACCAAATTTATGAAGAAATAAAACCAACTCACACTTTCAATTTAACCTCTCTTTCCCAATCTTTTCAAAGTACCAAAACTTAATCCAAATGAAAACTATACTGCCCACACAATTTCCCTTGCAAGATGATATGAAAGACGTTTAGTCACGACAAGGGCAGTACAGAAAGGAGCTCTCATCAGAGCAGTACCTGAGAAATAACAGAGGCTTTTTGAATACCTGTATGTTCTGTCAGGATAATGTAATATGTAATGACAATTATAAATATTAGCAAACCTGGACAGTTTCAGACTTCACTTTTGTTGTTGTATTAAAAAAAAGAAGAAAAAAGAAGCAACAACATCAGGAACACTGGCACTCTCTGTAGTTATAAATGCCAGCTGCACGACAGAAAAAAACCAACCAATACAGAGAGGCTCTTCCTAATCCCAAAATTCTCTTGCTCCTCTTTCCTGTCCCACACCAGCAGTAGAATCCCTGTAGAAACCCACCACCATGACAAATCATCAGCAATGTGTAACTGGTCCCAAAGCAATGGTCCAAGACTCTCCCCGTCTAAGGGCATATTCCCAATGAATGAGAACAGGCTGTGCAGGTTTAAATATGTTTATCTCCCCCATTTATGGCTAGTTCCGCCACAGGGTAAAATGTAGATGCTTTCTGAAGCATGCAAACGTTTGCGGAGAAGTCAGATATATGATCATTATAAACTAGTATAAAATACAATAGAAAGTTATCCATAGTTTTCATGTTACTGGCCAGCAGCATTTTGAAAATGCAAATCTTCCCCCTAGAAGGAAATAAAGATCCTAAAGGTGTTTTCCCAGTTTATGTTATACTTACAGACTTCATGCTTCCCACAAGTCCCTTCCTATAGCACATCATCTTACTTTTCACTGAGGGAAGCAGAGCTGCAGAAAGACAGTAGAAAAGCAATACCCTTCTGACATATGCTGTATCAAAAAAACCCTAACACTATTTATTATGAAGGCTCAAATGTTTTTCTTAGTCTTATTTTCTCCACAGCTGTCACAATGCCACTGGATCCTGTTTAATTTCTCACTATTTCCCCATCCAAGTCAGCCTGTTTATTTGCCCATAACCTAAGCAGGTGCATGCCTACTGTGGAAGAAAGCAAAACATCCTTCTTTGATTAGGTAAAACTGTTGTTTAGCCTACTTCATAGGATCTCCACACTTACAGTCCTCTTACCCATAGATTTTCTATTTACTATTACACTTGCAAGCCATTTATATGCCACCTCAGTCATCCTTGTGCACTGATTGTGAAATTTACTATATAATTCATAAGATGTGTGCTTTATAGCTCATGGGTTAAATCATTGGTTTGGTAAAACAGGGTGTCCTGGTTTCGGCTGGGATAGAGTTAATTTTCCTCCTAGTAGCTGGTATAGTGCTGTGTTTTGGATTTAGTATGAGAATGCTGCTGATTATTCTCATACTGTGTGTTCACTGATGTTTTAGTTGTTGCTAAGTAGTGCTTACACCAGTCAAGGACTTTTCAGCTTCCCATGCTCTGCCAGGTGCACAAGAAGCTGGGAGGGGGCACAGCCAGGACAGCTGACCCAAACTGACCAAAGGGCTATTCCATACCATATGACGTCATGCTCAGTATATAAACTGGGGGGAGTCAGCTGGGGGGCAGCGACTGCTGCTCAGGGACTGGCTAGGCATTGGTTGGCAGGTGGTGAGCAATTGCATTGTGCATCACTTATTTTGTATATTCTTTTATCACTATTATTATTTTCCCTTCCTTTTCTGTCCTATTAAACTGTCTTTATCTCAACCCACAAATTTTACTCCCCCCCCCCCCCCCCCCCCCCTTTTTTTTTTTAAAGAAATTAGGTATATGTGGGATTTTGTTACTTCTTTTCTTTAGCATGTTTGCTAAAAAATAATAAGAAAATGGGGAAACAATGTGTAAGCCCTCCCCTCCTTTTCTTTAAGGGGTATCTCTCCCCCATCCCACTGCGGGGTGGGGGGGAGGGGTGCAAACAGCTGTGTGGTGTTTAGCTGCCTGCCAGATTAAACCACAACACAGGGGTTGTAAGGTATTCTTTAGATTGCACTAGATGATCTTCAGAAGACCATTCCAACCTAAACCATTCTATGTTTCTGTGTTTTACACTCTTGAGACGTACACAGACTTTGCTCCAGACTGCTAAGGTAAAAGGAGAAAAACACCACCCCTTCTCATGCATGCCACAGGTCAAACAAAACATATGAAATGACACTTACATGTATCTCAACTTCATGTCTACTCCACACCCCGGAGCTGGCAGCAGAGGTGTTGAATTCTGTGCCAGCATGTAGTATTTTGTTTCAGAAGCTTATGTTTTTCCAAACTAGACTTTCTAGAAATGCTGAAGCTATGGACTACTGTATTAAAGTTTGTCAAAATGAACAGGTAAAAAAATTAGCCCATTATATCCTTCAATAAAATCTTAATTACTTCAGATGATGAGCCCAACAAAATGGGTCACTCAGTATAATTACATAGCTTCTTACAGATCATTTTGTACAAAATTAAAGACCCAAAGGTTTGGAACTTAATAAATTAAGTGTTATTACAACCAACATGCCATTACTGACCAATGGTTTTTGCACAAGTTACTTAAAAATATGAAGATATAATTTAATATTTTGCAATTATGTCAGAGTGATGCTTATTTTTCTCTGCCTTAAAACCTATGAACCATGAACTCTTTCACATTAAGCTAGATACACTAGTCACATCCGGAACGTTTTAAGATGATCAAAAATGTATCAAGGCTTATGGGTTAATTAAAAAACCCCCAACCTTAAGTATTTAATATGGAGAATCTCAGTGTGCTGTAGGATAGCTTAGGAGCTCAATCATCCAAATAATTCACATGAACAAATAGTTCCTGATGCAACAAACTTTCATATTAAGTTATATGTGAACAAAGGTGGCAAACACCAAGAGGAAGAACAGTAACAAACCAGGATTACAACAATACAGTGAGTTCCAAGTGCATGCAAACCTGGAATTAGTGACTTCGCATGCATAAATCAAAAGCTTATTTCAGATTATAATAATTTATAAAAAGTGAAGGACATCCTACCGACGTGGCTTCCTTCCGTTTTACAATCTTTGTATTAACTAAGCTTGTGACATCGTATCAACAACTTATGAGCAATGCAGCTGCTTAGGAAGCAGAGGGATCAACCCATCTCCAGCCAAAGATGAGGTTAGTCTACTTCCATATTTGTACGTTTATGTTAATGTTACCTTCTACAGAAAAGAGAAGTTTTGAAAACTATCTTCTCATGGGAAATACAGCCTGATCTTCTTTCATGGGTCAGTGCTTATGCATGTTTAGTGTGATTTCAAGAAAAGTGCATCATAGCACATGATAAAGTGCATGTGTGGGGAGGAAAAATATATTATAGAGTAGTTCCTCTTTAAAAACTCAGAAAGAAAATGTGCGAGTTAAAAGTGAACAAGCACCTTGACATAATTCAAAAAAGTCCAAAGCTACTTTTTTTTTAAATAGTTGTATTAATTCGTAACTTGAAGAACTGCAGAAAAGGAATGAATTTTAAACCATACAAAATTTAGCTTCAAAGTGTGCATTTGGAAATTGACTCAATTGCCTACATGACTAAACATTTTTAGAGAATGATGCTGTTATTCAAAAGAAAAATCAGTTCCTTTGTAGCCTTGCCAATATGCAAGTTGAACCTCTACTCTTTCCTTCCTTCCTTCCAAACAGTAACTAACCTAGTAGTTCAGGTGCTAAAGAAGTCAGCAGATGTTACAGAATTTAAAGACAGTAAAGGACTTAAAGAATATATGCACTAGGAATATTTTATGAATACTCCGTACACAAAAAGTTATACTAGCAAAGGAGCATTTTTGACAGAATGACAGCAACACCCTTAACAAGCAAACCAAGCTAAACTAAAAAAGTAGTTGCTGGTATCGCTGCACTATTCTCAACTTGATGCCTGTCTGCTGAAGCACAGATACTGATTATGTACATGCATTTATTCCACCACATCCCATGGTGAATTAACTTATCTGAAAGTGCTTTAAACCTGGCATGGTTATAGGCCAGTTCTGACTTCATTTTGGGTGACTGGCATATACATCAATCCCATCTCTGCCTTACCATTCTCTCTCTAGCACCTGTGACTCTTTACCGGCTCCCACAAGCAGATCCGTCTTCCAGACTGGACATCCACATTATCTTCCAAATAAAGACGGATAAGAGAAGCTAAGGAAACCGTAACTGCATGAGTGTTGGGTGCGAGGGAAACAATGAAACAAGAGACACTGGGTAGAGAGGGCTGGAGGAATCTATGCTAGGTACCAGACATATGCTACCCCTGTGTGCAGCCTGGTAGGAAAAAAGCACACTGCAATGTGGAAAGCCAAGAAGAAAACATTACCAGATGAGAGTGCTATATCTGGGGAGTGGCCAGTGTGTGACAAGAGGATAAGCAGACCTTTGCTAGAGGCTGAATGTGGAGGAAGTACTTTACTACACAGGGAAGAAAGAGGTTCATTTATTACCAACTTCAAGGCTCCTATGAGAAGTGGTAACTTGTTAAGCCACAGCAATTCAATTATGTTTTCTCATGGCTGTAATCTGCAACTACATTACAAGCTGTGCTGGTAACAGCTATGTCAGTCAAAGATTAAACTTCTGCACGAACACCTACCTCTGTTGATAAAGGCAATGAATAAGCTTTCTAGTATCAATAGTAACACACATACAAAGTGCATTTCATTTAGAACTTCTCAGCCTCTTTTTTCTATATCCTAAGGAAAGCGCTATACATTTTTGTCTTTTTTTTCCCCATACAGAACTGGAAAGCCTTCTTTCTTCTTAATAACTAGTAAATCACTGAAATGAAGTTTTCTGGTCTTGCACGCTAAATTCTGTAGAGCACCTAGTAGCAGAATGCAATTCTGAAAGTGGCTAATGTGCTTGTAGGGAGCTCCAGAACTGGGGATTCACTCTTAAACTGCAAAGCTTCCAAACAGAAGCCATATGATGCCTTTATAAAAAACATTTAACAAATAAAACCTGCAAGCAGATGACATCTCTCTTACATTTCTTATATAGGTCTCTGTAGTATTTAAAAGAATAACTTGAAAGCATTTCTATGATCAACATAAAATATGCTGTTCTCCTCAGAATGGTAATACAGAGTTAATATTGCCCATTTTACTGCTGATCATTTAAAAATGGTCTAATGTGTTTAATTAATTGTTGGCAGAAATGGACAATTCCAAGGTTCAATATATAGAAGGAAGGTGGATTACAGGGATTTTTGGAACAGAAAATGCATGAACTAAACCATCTGGTTCCTTAGCTTTAGTTTTCTCTAACAACATACAAAACTAGTAAAGTACACTTTATTGTACCACACACCTAAATCAGCCAAACCTCATCATCTTTCCCAACTTAAGACACTTTCTACAGTGCAGATACTCGTCAGTTTAAAAAAAAAAAATTACATATCTGCACCATGAATAACCGAGTTCAGCAGCTGTAAAGAATAAGTCAGCACAAATAAATTTAACGCGTAAAATACGTTGCACAAGAACCACTTTACCTGTTCAATAGTTGATGAGCTGGCAATACTAAATAACGAGCCTAGCCTGCCATTGAGCCAAAGGACCTCACTTATTTCTACTACTACCGGTTAAAATGTAATTAAGAATCCTCTGGGAACTATATAAAGATACAGTCATTCTTTATCATAAGTTGCCTAACTTCTTCAGTTGAATCTAACATAAAAGGTGATGTAATACTGGGTAGTTACTGTATCTTGACTGAAATGCAAGAATAATTATCATTTGCATCATCTGTCACAACCATTTGAATTGAAACTGACAGAAGTCATGTGGTAGCATTGCAGGTGGATAGTTCAAAGGTAACTGAAAACTGGTTTTCAAATTCAAATTTTGCTGTGGTTTCACCTTAACATTCAGACTTCCAAACACTCAGATTTATCAATGAAGCTGAAAACACACCATCTGCTGTAATGTTGCCAACAAAAGAATGTGACTGAGGCAGTCAGAAAAGGTACAGAATAATACTTCTTTTATGGCTCGTATAAGATTATGAAAGAACCAGATTATCCGTTATTTAAACAGTTCACACAGCCTCAAATAATACACATAAGAACTGCAATTTAAACAAGAACATAGAAGTTAAAACACAAGTTTTATCATGCTGAATGAAAAAGTTATCACTTCATACATACTAAGAGAAAAAAAGAAAAGTTTGGAAAAATAAGAGCAATAAAACGTACTTACTTGGTGTGAAAGCAAATCTGTGCTTACATAATTCACAGTATTCTTTTCTGCTGTGCTTAAGCCACTGAACTAAGCTGCAATAAAAAGAGATCATATTAATACACGCTGTTACATCTCTCTGCCTTATCCCTCCATTAAGGAAAACACACCAATTCTGTTTTCAAACATATATCAGGATATTGGTACTATCAAGCGGGACTTAAATTAGCATGTTTATTAAGTCCATTTAGGCCACCAAGTAAGTTTCAAAAAGTGAAAGAGAGAAGCTGACTATGAGTAACAGTGACTCTTCAATTACATCACTTGCATTATCGATAAAGTACATTCTTTGAGTATGTTATTGAAAAGGCTAATAACTCAAAGCATATATCCTGACATGGACACCCACTAGTGACACCAATCCCTATAAATATTTCAAGATATGACACATATATGCACACACCTAAGATTTAGAACTGTTGTATTTGTGAAAGAATGGCTATTAAAATACCATCAAAAGGAATGTGTGTTATAGACCAGAATTACAAAATTTTCACTTCAGCATTTCCCTGATCATACACCTCAAAATGACCAAGGTTAGATGTTCTTTTTATTCACAACTATAAGTGGGAAGAAAAAGCCCCAGCATACTGGCTTTTCTGCTTAGTTTTCATAAAGCTGACGTATGAGCAGAACTGTAGTCCTAAACACAAACAATTATCAGTACTTTCTTTTCATGTATAATTACTAAATTCTTTGTGAACTGTAATGAACTGTCATGTACAAAAAATGTCAAAGCCCCTAACACATTTCCACTGAAAACTGGATATTCTTACTAGTTAACCTGAAGACTTAGGAAGTATTGTTTTTAGAAACATGTTAATGTATTTTTTTAAAATAAAAAAAAATTAAAAAACCCACAAAAACAGAACTCACCATTCCTGATGAATAAATTTAATACTGCCAGTACACACACAAGGATGATAGAGGGGTTTCTCAGGAGTTCCTTCAGACCGACAGACTCTGCATATATCTGCTGACAAGGACATAAAGCTTAAATACTTCTGCTTAAAGAATTCAAATTTACAAGACAAATTACACAATTAAATTCTAGAAACTCTGCCATGTAGCAAAATGAAGCCAGAATAAACTAAAGAGAATGACAGATTTCATCTGATGCAAGACATGAAGACTGAGATCACCTGAAAAAAGCAACAAGAATGTTAACTGCCTGATCGTGTTATGAAAAACTCAAAGCATGACTTATTTTATCTTTAAGATTTCTCAGAAATAGGCACATTAAAACTACATGCAGAGGTGCTCTTTGCCTAGAAAAAGTTACCACTAAAACCATATATATATATTGTTGAGGATAGTCTTCCTGAAAGTGGAGTCTTTTAAATGGAAAAATTCCATTTCAGTTTTGAACAGGTTAAACAGAGGCCGAGCAGAAGCAATTTACTAATATCTAATAATGACTTAAACACACCATTTGCTACTCTTGAACCTAACATGGATGTTCCTTGGTGCTCTTGATGAAAGGGAAAAAAACTCTGTCATAATAAACAGAAATAGGTATTTTGTGAGTTGTCTACCCAAGTTGAATAAGGCCATCCATCTAGCAGTCTACAGTCCAGTAACAAGAGAGAAAATGTTTTCCATTTCTTATTTCATAATTTCAATTTCAATAATATTTCAATAGGTTCTGCACCTTCTTTATTCTCTATTTTTGACATTTCTTAGAACTAAAGATTGCAAGATGTTTTGTGGACAAAGAAGTGAATGTAAACCTCTCCCTCTAAAGAACAGATGTCTATTTTAATACTATTCAGTTATCCAGAGCATTTAAACACATAATCAAATATAAATAAAAATACTTTATTTTCTTATTGGCAGATGCATGGCATCTTCCCTTTACCTCTCCTCTAATACTATTGCACTTTTACTTCTGTTAAGACAGTTAACATAAAATGTTCATTTTTATGGAAGATTTAAGTTTAGGGTTTTCTCTTTTGTTAATTATTTCTCTATCAACCACCATTCAGCAAACCTGCAAGAGTGTAACAGATACGCATCAGAGATCTCTGTTAGAAAAATACCAACTTGAAGTACTGATATAAGAATAGTGAAAATATGTAATTTCAAGTCTGAATCACCTGTCTTTGTTCTTGGTTGACATCTCCAAAAGTTAATGTATTTCTACAAAAAGTTCCAAAAGGTACCAAACATAAAAATATGGATAATAAAATATTGGAGAAGTCACAATATGACCATATCCATAGCTCACACAGTATTAGCACAGTTTCTACACATAAAGAATAAGAATTCTAAGTGACTCCGGGGGGGAAAAAAAAGAGAGGAGGAATCTATCTACAAAAGAGAGCTATGAATTCACTGATGCGGGCCAAAAACTGAGCACTAAGAGAAACAGGTATTCAATACCATAACGATGATGCTACAAGAGAGACATAAAGAGCACTTCCATCACAGCCATTATCGAGCAACGATGTATCGATGTATCGCTGCAAACATCAAGTGCCCCTGGCTTCTCTGCCGACAAGAATGACCAGAACCGCTACTTCACATAACAAATGATTCTTTTATCATAGAGAGTATTTCCAGATGGCCGCACAGGACAGGTCTCTTCAACTAACCCACAGCCACTAGCTGTGGTGTGCCCACCTTCCTCCGGCATTGCTTCGCACAGAACT